GGATTCCTTTTGCAGAAATGACTGCTTCAATATGGCGTGGCATCGAGGCAATCAGCCTGTGGCACTGCTGAGGTCTTATGGAGGCCCAGGATGCTTCGATAGCGGCCTTTAGCTCATCCACAGTGTTGGGTCTTGAGTCTATCAACATTCTCCTTACAATATCCCACAGATTCTCTATGGGGTTTAGGTCAGGAGGGTTGGCAGGCCAGTTGAGCACAGTGATACCGAGCAGGTGCCAGGTCGTGCTAAAAAATGAAATCTTCATCTCCATAAAGCTTTTCAGCAGATGGAAGCATGAAGTGCTCCAAAATCTCCTGCTAGCTAGCTGCATTGACCCTGCCCTTGATAAAACAAAGTGGACCAACACCAGCAGCTGACATGGCACCCCAGACCATCACTGACTGTGGGTACTTGACACTGGACTTCTGGCATTTTGGATTTTCATGAGCTGTATGCCAAAATAATCCGTATTAAGACCATAAAATACCTAAAATATTTTAGTTAGTGTGCAATAAATCTAAAATATATGAATGTTGAAATTTTATCATTACATTATGTAAAATAATGAACTTTATCACAATATGCTAATATTTTTGAGAAGGACCTGTAGACCAGAAGTGTTGGGAGACACCAATTAGGGGATCTTGGATTTTGTTTTTTATAATCATGATGCGGTTTCTAAGGTATATGGAGGGCCAAAATATGTATGTAATATTTTAATACATGATACAAATATTAAATATACCATTGAAATGCACATTTAACTAATTAGAAATACATTTAAAATGATTAATGGAAAAAGTAAAATGTCCTTTAAAGAAAGGCATTAATCTAAAAATGAAAATGATTACTTCACTTTATATGTATAAATAAAAAGTGAAGTATTTAAATGTATGTATTAGGGGTTGTTATTGTTGGTCACTGGCTGAAATGTTTGGGAATCCCCATCTCAGACGGTCATTAGGATTTTAACTTAAATTTGTCTTGCTTTTGATTGTTTGCATCTTAAAACTGGTTCTCTAATGTATATCTTTTTGTGGTTCTTTTGACTGAGTTTTTAGATATATTTTGTCTACCTTTACTTTTAATCTTCTGATTTTTTAATATATATATGTATAAAAAACAAGAATTATAATTATGATGGTTACGTGCATTTCCACATTTACCGTTGAGTTCAGTCATGCTGCTGTAATGCTTGAAATAGCCAATTCTGCTTTCTTGTGGTCATGTTTTACCACTGCTGTCCTTTAATCCAATAAGTTGACCTATTACATAATGTAAAGTGGACTATCTGTGTGCTTGACCTATTGACGGAGTCTTATAGAAAGTGTTACATTCTCACAGGGCTGGGTGATAGTGCTTTAAAATCGAATCTCCCTTTTTATTTATTTCTCTCCTATAAAATCAGAAGGTTTTTTTCCTCCCTTAATTTTAAACTAGACAAGTAAACTTACATTGCTTTCAAAATCCTTTTTATTTCAATCATCCTCTTTGGGAGGTGACCTTATTTTTAAGTGCAACAAATTCAAACTGTAAAATGCTGATTAAACTATTTAACAACAAACAAAGAAAATATAACAAAATAAATGTGTGCAACTAGTGGTGTTACAGCTAGTTTATCAGTTATAGGTACACATCTATGAACAAAAAGGGATGAACTAATGCCAGTGGAGTCTTTTCCTGTGATGAACTGGGGGGGAAAAAATCCAGATTTTCAAAAAGAATGTTTATAAACAGAAAATTTGATTAATCAATTGTATTATTAATCCGCCCTAGCCCCACATTGTTGGTTCTTTATAGAAAAGTGGCTTAAACTGTTGACTGGTTTCACCTGATTTTATTGATCAGCCTTTGGAACTTCTGTTACAAGCAAATTTCATTTTAATTAATCGGAGATATGTTGGAAGTAAACATAAATGTATTTAACAAGGCAGGAAGGGTCAATTCCCACTGTGAATACTGACTTTACATCACTGGGTTCTCCTTTAAACTGCCTTATGCGATTAACATTGCTGAACGGCTTCAATTACATAACACTCATTTGATAAGATTTCACAGGAAGCACAACTGCCCAGCTCTGTGGAGTACAACTGTCCAGTGATTTACGTTTCATCTCCGCTCATGATTGGAGTGTGGTTCTCAGGGTCGTCCGCCTTTATATAGATTAAGCAGAAATAGCGAGGGTCTTAGGGGGTCTTATGGACTGGTGTTACAGCTCAGGATCAAATGACGGGTCGTTTGCATCGTCGAACGTTGAAGCTGTCAGCCAGGGCTTTGGGAAACCTGTCAGCTGTACTGATTCTGGGCAGTTTGTGTGATGCAATGTTAAAAAGGTGAGTTTTAGAACAGATTTCTGCACTTGACCCATTAGGAACGGGTCACATACTAGATTTTTTTTTGTTTTGTTTTGTTTTTTAACCAGGGCTGATTGCCTCTCTGCTCCCTTCATTTGTTCAACACTGAAAAGCTGTGTGATCCTTTTCTTCATAGCAGACTGACTTTGGCTGCTTAGCAACGGTGAAGGCCAACTCGGTCTCTCTGTCCATAGCCACTCCCCTTTCAATAGGATAAGGTGACATGTCGCCTTGCTCCTTTTGTAAACTTGCAACCCAACCAGGAGCGCAGTTTGTGGCTGGACCTTGACACGTGTTTACAATCGGAGCTGCAAACTTCCCAGTGATTTCTTTCAAAGGAGCTGTTAGGAGAGCCTGCTGATCAAAGCCTTCGTGGAGAAAGTGACTTTGCAGAGGAGGAAGGGGGGGGGGGACCCTAACCCCTGCACAGGGGGCACGCTCATCCAGCCTTCCGTTACTGATGCACGGCTGGTTTTGAACACAAGGAAAGAGGAATGGTGGGATGGAGACTGAGCTGAACTAAAGTCTGTTGAGTTTGCTGGCTCTCATGTATAATGGGGATGGTTGGGACTCCTGAAACACAATGAAATAAAGTTTGAGGATATTTCATCTTCAATCTATCACTGGAAGGAGGGAGGACTTCAGCAGGTTTGTTTATACTACACTTCAACACAATCACTGAAAAGTTGGTGCTACAAACATTTATTTTAGCACCATTTTTGTTTGTGTTCTGTAGCTTTGATCCCCTCGGCTCTATTTTTCTATAAACACTGTCAGGACATGGAGTCTCTCAGGTGTTGGTTCTTGCATAACCCTAAATGCTTATTGACATTGTTAACCAGCTTAATCACTGCTCCTTATCTGCCTTTTACTTGGTGATTTTATATTGCCTTGGAGGGTAGCTCATGCCAAAGTTCAGTGAACAGAAATTCCTCAAGGCTCCATAAACTCTGATTGTGTTGTAGAGCCTGTAATGTACAACAGTGTGTGTTCTGGGGACAGTAAACAAGCATGGTATTTACTCTTATACGGGATGGGGGCCATGTTTCTTTTAACTTTTCTTTTTCACTACCGCACTACTACTTTTGCAAAGAACAGCGTTGATGTAATATTTTGGTGGCCATAATTTTTACAGTTAAGACGTTCATACTGTGCTAGCAGGTAATACATCCTGCCAGTTGGATGGACTCCCTCTGCCTTGCATACCTACACATTCAGTTGCTAAGAGGCTAAAGAACACCCATCCGTTGTCTCATCAGGTTTATCTTTGGAGAATGTATTTGTGGGCTGGGTGATGGGTGTATGTCTCCAGTGGTCACAGGCCACTTTAGGATGCGAAAGAGTATACAACAACAAATAGAAAGGGAAAAGGAAACAAATATTGGTTGATTTCAAACATGGTCTGCCTGTTAGTGTTATATAATATTTGTACGTTGCTCTAGATTTGGAGGGCTATGAATTTTTTGTTTGGTTTGTAATATAGATATATCAGACATCTGTCCAATATGGCCAAAAAATGAATATCAGAATATATCTGAAAGAAATCTAAGATATAAGCAAGTTGGTAGAAACGGCACCTTTCTATCAGTGTCTGTTTAAAGTTCCTGAAACCTATTGGTTATAGTGGTAACCAGTCAGTTGATCTCATAGCTAGTGTAGATGAAAGTTGGTCTGTGTTTTAATAATATCTCCTGATCTGATCAAGCCTCAACATTCCCCAATACAAAATGAGTAATAAAAGTGATCTTGACTTCCTATCTGGTCAGTATTGGTATCTGCCAATACTCAAAGCCAAAGTTATCAGAACATCCTTATAGGGATTCACTGATATGCTGTGATGATGATATTAATGCAAACTGTATGGTGCTTCCCTAGATGTTAACTTTTTTGTGCTTAGAAGGGTTTTTATTTCATTGCCATATCAGTATATCCTTCTGTGTTTCATGTTCAAGCAGTTTGCAACAAAAACTATCAGTCTAATTAAAAGCAGAGGGTTAGCAGAACATCTTAGAAAAATCGGACATCATAAAGTATTGCAAAAGGATTTTTGGCAATCCATGTTGGCTGTATTTTATTATTTTTACACTATGATCATCACATAGGCCCTGTGATCTTGACTAAGCCTATTTATAATCCAAAGCATAATGATTATTTTGGGTGGAGACTTTGACATGTAGAGGGTACATGTTGTTCGGGAAAAATGTATTTGAGTTTTAAGGCTTCGTTTAAAATCTGAAAGAATACCCTCACCCTTAATACATGGACACATGCAAGCTGTTTGTGATCTGATATCCTTTATTTTGTGCAACAGTGGAGTCTTTGTTGTAGTAGCTGGCAAGCTCTGTTGTCCAACCTGCCCTAAACAAACACGATAGTGCCACAACAAAGCTATTAAGTAATCAGCTTCTTAGACTGAATGGCTGCTCGATTAATAGTTTAAGATCAGACTTGTTAATGATTTACATTTGTTGCCTTATTATAGGTTTTAATCTAAAGAGGAATGTGAAGTATTTGTTATAAAATAATATAAAGTTGAATCAAACATAAGTGCTTTTTTATTAATGCATTTTCAGGATATCCCTTTGTCTTGTAAAATTATTAAATTTTAAAAAAAAATAAATAACATTTGCTTCATTTTCACAGATGTTCCGACCTGCTCTACAAGTGTGATGAATTGCAGTGCGCTCAGCAAAGAGAGATTTCACTCTGAACTTGATTCCCATCCTACATCCAAAATGAACCAGACTTTTAATTTATCAAGTGACCCCTTTAAGAGCTCAGTTCCAGCCCCACAGAGAGATGGGCAGATTTCTGCATCACCCGACCCCGACGGTATTTCCAGCCTGAGTGAAAGAGAAGCCAGAGGCTCGCCTTACATCAACACAGACTGCCGCCTAAATGAACAGTCCTCTGTGGGTAAAAGCCGCACTGCCACCTCACAAGAGGATCCTCTCTCTGTTGTTACTTCAAACATGACTGAAGGATTCATTGTGACTCCTGGAAATCAAAATGGACCAACTGTAGCCGAGACATGTAAGAGTTTTATTAAGCATGAAGATCACAATGCAATAGATGAAAAGATCCCTTTGGAGATTGCCGGAATAGAGGGCAAGCTCAGTTTGTGTGGCGCTTCCTGTAGAAGATCTAGAAATGATTGCATCTCCCTAAGCTCTGGGGAAATAATATTAAGAAATCCCAGCTTTTGTCTGGAGGATCAGTCTCTTTTAGTTTTCTCTTCAATGGAGGATTCCAGCTTTTCTCCAGCTGCAAGCTGCATGCCTGCACCATACGAGTCCAGCTTGTCAGCTTTTCTTCCAGATGTCTGCAGAACATCAGCAGAGATGGGGACCAAGGAGAATGTGGCGCACTCTAGCCTTGGTATGACTTTCATTCAGGAAAAAAGTACAGAGAATCCCACTGGGGAAAATGATATGGCACCATCCAGCTCTGATGTACCTCTGCCAAGTGAAAGTGGAGGTAGTCTCTTCACAACCTTCATTTGTGAAACTCCTACAGACACTATAGAAGGGGTCAGGCAGTCCGGTGCTGATGTGGATTTGCAGCCTCAGGTTTCAGAAGAGTTTACCCCAGAAGTTGGCAAAACCTTTGGGTCTGTTTCATCAGGAATGCTGGAAAGCGATGATGATGTTCACACATCTACTCCTGTGCAAGTCTTTGGGACCAAGACACCTAACCTCTCCTACCGCTCTCCTTGCATTGAACACATCAACGGCCCAGGTTTCCAGCTGGAGAAAAGGCATCATATCTCCGTCACTTCTAAAGGCCGTCCGGTTGCAAGCGTTACTCCTTCAATATGCAAAGCTAAGAAAACAGAATTACAGAGGGTTCCCAAGTCTGATGTTAGTGCTGTGAAATCTAAAGTCTTCAGTAGATTGCAGCAGCAGGCAGCTGTGTCCGGCACCCCTAAACTGCAAAGGTCCCAGCAGGTTGATAAACAGGAGATTAATAGAAAAACAGCTTTCAGGATTACTGCTGCTAAGGTAATGAGCAGAACTCCAGGTGTCTCTACCATCTTTAAAACCTCTGATCCTAATGGACAGGTTCACAAAAGAGCTGCTATGACAGGAGCATCTGTTAAACCGCTATCTAGACTTGCTGCAGCTTCTTCAGCAGACTCCATCCCAGCTGTCAAAGAACATGTTTCTGAGGTTCAGGGCACAGAAAGCAGCTTTAAGGAGATGCAGGCATCAGAAAGCCAGTTATCAGAGGCATCAGCACAACATGCCACCAGCCTGAGCTGTGCTTCAAATGAAAATAAATCCACAGCTGGAAATGGCCCAGTGGAGCCCAAACCCACTACAAAGAAGGATGTTTCAAATCAAATTGGGGTCCGTTCTGGATCGGTTTCAGGTCAGGACAGGCCTACCGTTGGGATGACGCAGCCTCGCTCGTCCTCTGAGAGTTCAGCAACATCTAGGCCACTTAAAGAGAATAAAGCACCTCAAGGAGTTACGGCGAGTTTGCCTGTTTCTCAAGAGGACAGCGTGAAGAGCTCAGCTAAAGCAAGCAACGTGAAGGGCCCTCCCCAACAGAAACCCGTTGAGAGGACAAACCGTTCTGTTGAAAACTCCAGAGGTGTAAAGAAGATCAGTCTGGTGGTAAGCAGATGCCTGATCCTAGAAACTTCAATACATGATGTGTTAGATTTTTATTCCATCCATATATTTGTTTTGTTTTCCCAGGCAGAGCCCAGCAGATCAACCATAGCAAGACCCCAGCTGAATGAAAGCAAAAGTAGATCTCAAGGCCAACCTTCCCCCAGACGAGCGAGAGGAGCTTCACTTTCCCAGCCTCCAGCCGCTGGTTCCAGAGCAGCTCCTCTGTCAGCCAGACTCAGACTGGGAGTGCTGGGGAGGCCTGAGGACAGGAACTCAAGAACTGCTGGGAAAGCCCAAAGTAGTGAAAGTAAGTTTACCTTTGATTTAATTGGAGTTTCCAGAAAAATGTCTGACACCACCAAGCTGGTATTTTGGTCAAAATGTGTGAAATTAGCTATTTGGTATAATTTAATATTATCTCTCTTTTTCTCTCTTGATTGGCCTATTAAAGGGCACAGAGGTCCACCATAATTACAGCCAAGAGGTGGAGTATTAGTCAAACCTTTTTTTTGGTTTGAAAATGAACTTGAAACTAACTCTTAAACTGAACTCTGAAATGTTTAGAGGGCTCGCTCGATGTGTATGCTGGATGCATGGTTGGCCTGTAAATGATGCAAGGACAACAGCATGGACATCTTCCCCTCCTGAACCAAAGCTAAGCTATTGGCCATTCTTAAATAAAAAATTTACTATGAACATCTTCACAAAAACAAACCAATGCATAATCAGGGCCCTCACCAGGTGGCACTAAAGAGATATGATGTAGTCCTGGGAAAAATCTATTTTTAATAACTGTTATATTTTTTTCTCCTGTATTTTTAGCCTATTTGCCAACTCAGCCCATTCTTGCTTCTGTTAATAATTTATTTTTTTTATTGTGCTTTTAAAGGTTGTGCTCTCTGTCAGCGCATTTGTTAAGCTGTGACTGCATTTTAGTCAAAGGGATTGTAAAGAGTGAGGAGTGGGTGTGTGGTCTTATGTCCTCCAGAAACCCCGACCAGTTTCTCATGTATATTTACTAATAAAGAGGTAAATGTGTTAAACGCATTTTTTCGCTGCTGTTATGCTCTGAAGTTCAGAGTAACGTCATCTTTCAGAGAAATTTGACAAATTTCAATTATTCATGTCAGTTTTAGAGGAATTTCATCTGCTTCTATATTCAGGGCTCACTAAGCAGAGTTTAACACAGGACAACCTTTTGAACCAGGATATCTAGAAATAAAGTCATCGCCTCAATCCACTGCAGCAGAGAGGAATTTATCTGTCTGACTTTAACAGTTAAATTCTCATTGTGACTTGGCAGTCGTTCACAGTCTACAAAGAGAAGTAGGTAAGAAAAGCTCATTTCTAAATAAGCTGGGTGTTTTTCGAGTGCTGGGTCGAAGACCAGCCTTAGGAGGATTGTAAAGCAAAGTCCATTCAAGAATAGGAGATTCAGAAGGTGTGGTCTACAGCTGGGTTCAGAGTTTCAACAGCCCAAACACAAGGAATTATGCCAAGAGATGTTCAGCTTTCATTCCTCATATTAAGATGATTCAAAACCAGAGCTGATGTCAGAAATGTCTTAGTAGTTCAAAAATCAAAAGAACTGGATTGTTGCTCCAAGTACTCTGTTCAAATGAAAGTAAAGTTTGCATTTTGTTGGTACATGGTGTCTCCTTTGCAAACATTGCTGTTTTTAAAAACATATTTTTTATTCGTCTTAAGTAAATATTATTACATTTTAGTTTTCAAAATTAGAACAAAATCACTTAAATTGTTTGTAGAAATTTTCTTCATATTGAATCTAATTCTTCATATTAATTCACCTTATTATGTTATAATTCTTTTGTGAGATGAAGCTCCTAGTTTGGATGGAAACTGTACTGGTTTAATGTTTTAACGCTGCCCCTCCATCAGAGGGTGACAATGAGCGTTTTCTGACATGCAGGTGGCTCCACTGCTCCGTTTCTGTAGCACATCTGAGAAGTGGGATTGTTAATCTCATGGTTTTTCATCCCCCCCTTTTATGCCCTTTAATATGCAATCGTAGCTGGAGAGTTTTCATTTCTGAAATACTACTTTAGAAAAAGAAATGTTTTTGAAGGAAATGAAAAGGAAAAGTTTAATCAAAAAGTTTTTATTATATTTTGTTTTGGTAAATTTTTCCTCAACTCCATACCAGGCAGTCAACGAGCCCAGGCTGCAGAGGAGCCATTCGTAGGCACCAAGCGCCAGCAAAATGCATCCAAGCCTCCTCAAACTCCTAGTCGACCTTCATCTATGGGCCCTCCTGCTACTCCTGCAGTTAGACCACCAAGGAAGATGCTGGGACAGGAATCTAAGAGAACAACAGGTGAGGCTCATAAGAATGCAGAAATGCTGCTCTTAAATATTAACCCATTTCAGGCCTTGATCTAGATAAATGTTTCCCTAGTATAGGCTTTTTGTTGTTTTATTTACCTGAATTAATATTTATATACTTTGATAGATAGTATATAACTTTAAATAAAAATAATTCATCTAAAGCCAGTGAAGTAAAACTAACTGATTAACAGCAGAGCTGGACAGATGAGCCGCTCTTGCATCCAGAACATTCAACAGCCTGCGTCCTGCTGTTATTGGCTTAGAGGACCTTTTCAACAAACTAGGGACCCCGCCTTTTGTTGTCATGGCAACCTCCTCTTCCACTCTACTTAACAATGAAAGTAGCCTGGAGGAGTAAAAGCAGACCTATTCAAACTGATGCTGTCTGAGGTGGATGGGGAGAGAAATCACTCTTTATTTCATTTCTAACTAACAACCCATGGCTGGCTACACTGGACTCCGGAGCTGCACTTGGACTGAAATCCCAACTCATGTTTTCTATAACTCTTCTTTTTTTGCACAAAGCGATTCAGAATCCAGCTGTGATTTGACCCTGCTGACATGCCTGCTCATCGGATCTTATCGCTTTTGTATCATCCCTTTGTTGGCGGCGTTTCATGGAAATGGTAGAAAGCTTTTAGAGACATGGTTAGGTTTTAGGGCTGCTACCATTTACTGGTAACACATTTAGCACAAACAGTTTGTGAAATACTGCTTAGAAATGTGAAATGTAAATTTTTGTTCACCTGTTTTATTATATTATATTATAAATAAAAGTATGATTTAGGAACTATAAGTACTGTGGCTAAAATGATTTATACCCAGAGTTTAAATGCGTGCTTTGATGTATTTAGCCCACACATCTCTGCATTTGCCCCACAGTTTCTGGAGGAGCAGCAAACAAGCAAACACCATTTAAACCTGTTTTGCTGAGACCAAGACTCATTTCAACCCCTGCAAAAAACACTGGATCAGGTAAGAAATGTCTCCTTATGTCTCTGAGAGGAATTTTTACTCATTTTAGCAAAATGTGAGGATTTCTAAGAGTGATATTTCTTATGTTATGTCATGTCTTCCCTGCAGTAGATAAATCCTTTGGGGTCTGCACTTATTATAAATCCAAGTTATTTCATCCCAGATGATAGTGAAATGCTCTGATCTTCTAAACCAGAGGTAACCAATTTAAAAAATCAGCAGGGTCCGATTAAAGAAAATCATCAACCAGTAAAGGTCCGGAGACATTTTTAATTATAATCTGTTACTTTAAACAGAATTTAACGCTGAAACAAAATGAGGTGTTCATGCATCCATGTTATACATTGAATTTTGAAATAAATATATATAAATATAAATATATATAAATATAACTATATATATATATATAGAAAGAAAAAACAAATTCCCATTTTAAAATCTAGTGTTTTTTGAAGTAGAGAACAACAATCGTTCAGTTTGGTATATAATTACCTGATTCACATATTTTTTTAAAACACCTGAACGGACTGTTTATTTTATTATTTTTTGGCTTGATGAGAGCAGAGGCCCTTACACTGCCCTGCAAGGCTTTAACCCTGGGTTTGGTTGCCAACAAACACATTCTCAAGCACATATCAAGGTGCTCATTCATGAAACCTGAATCAATATTTATTTTTGATTCTGTTTATGGTGGAGAATCCTGCTTCACAGCAGCATGTTGAGCCAAACATACTCTAAATGTTCAGGCTCAGCTCCGGCCAGGTCAAGATCCGCTATTGCAATCGCACCAAAGAAGAAAAAGAATGGTGAGAAGATCTGGTTTGTAAAATTAAAATATAGCAACAAGAGATCGGTAACTACAAATTAGAGCATAGTTCTTTTATATTTAAGAAAACTAACAGTTTATTTAAAAGATTGGATGCAAACTATTGGTTCTTCAACAGACCAGGAAGCAGACTTCTCATCTCCATCAGAAACCACACATATGCTGGATGCTGATGGGGATTTTTTTCAATGTCATATTAAATTAAGCCTTCATTTCTGCATTTTTTTCCTCCTACATGCACACATTAGAATAAAGGTGAGCAGTTTTCCACACAATGGTAACAAAGTTCTGCTACAATGGACTCTGGACAAGCAAGCTTTCAAAGTCATGCAAACAGCAAAACCTTGGAGGGGAACAGCTACAAGATTTTAGTTGGTGTAAAGGAAAATCCAATTAATATTACATTTTAGATGTTTTAGAATGTTTCATACATGCAGCCCCAGTTTGCATGTAGAAAAGCATTCTAGATTGCAGACAAAGCTGATCTACTAACCAGCCACAGTGAGAATGGTCTTTCACTTTAACAATACTGTGGACGCACTCGATATAGCATGTTTACCTTTATGAATATGCTTAACATTCTGATTGTTGGAACGTGCAGTAGACAAATGTAGTTGGATACCACCTGCAATGCAGTTTTCAAATCTGCAACACAGGTGCTGTTATTACTATCATGAACTAAAACTAACAAACTAATTAACAAGAGTACATTTTTTTACTGAAATAAAAATAAAAACTAGACCTTGCAAAAATAAAAACTAACTAAAACTGAATTTTAAGAGACTGTGTTTGGTTGTCGTTTGTGCCTTTATCATAACGCATTAATATAAGAGGTAGTTACTGGTTGTTGTTTTTGCTTTTGTTCACTGTAAAAAAAAATAAAAAAAAAATAAAACACCATCTGCATTAGTTTAGCAGATGGCAGGTATAGCAGTCAGCTCATTTGTGTTGCTGTAGGAGTCGGTCCTTATGTTTTAAGTTTTTTAAAAGTCTTACCCCTGGTATATAAGTCGTATTGCATAACAGACTAAAACTATAACCAAAACGGATAAATACTAAGCTAAAACTAAGAATAAAAACAAAAAACAACTAAACTAGCTAACAAATGGTAAAAACTAATTAAAACTTAAATGGAATGAGTCAAATGAAACAAAAACTAATAAAAATGTCAAAGCTATTTAAACCTTGGTACTGTGACAAAGGATGGAGGGGGAATATTTGAGCACAAGTCAACATATTTGGACATTTGGAATTAAAAATAGTAGAGCCACATTTTTTTTTGCATCTGGATGCATCATTCCAGAACAGCATTCCAGTTTGTGGCGGCTCCCTGAGCTGCCGCAAATTGGTGTTTTGTCCAGCACCACCAGACTCCCTCCATAGGTTGGAAGAAAGAGCGTCTTCATGTTCATTAGTGCTGCTATTCCCTCAGTGGAAATTCATTATTTCATTGGTGGATCTGTTTTGTTTTCTGTATTGCCATCTTATGGGCTCTGTCCATGCATCTGTGGTGAAGAAAACACACAATCTGCAGTGGCTTCTTTCACCATCTTCTTTTTGGTTAACTTATAGGTTGGGATCATTTTCCTTCCTTTTTTTTAAATAAAGAATTTATGGGACATTTCTTTAGAACCTGAAATGATGACCATGACTGGTTATCAGAGTTGCTCCAAAGTCAGCTGACCATTTTCTTAATTTTAAACAAACTGAAGATCCTTTTTTCCCCTCTGTCTTCATCCTCTTCAAAATGTGATCATATCTGCTACCTGTAGGCATTGCTGTAGCAAATTGAGGCTGCCTTTGAGCCGCTCAAAATAAATCTACTTTGTTCTCAGTCTCCATAGGCACCGCCAGTAACGTACGAATCCAACGGCATTAGCTAATGAGATGTTTTGGAGACAAAAGGTTTCATTAGGTGTTTAAAGTTGGCAGATAAAGAGTTATTTATTACAGGTAACATATTTACTGATTAGAGCTTTTTAATCAAACCTGAACTTGCAGCATCCAAAACCTTCTCTTAAACAGTCACATTTTACACCAATCACCTTTCTCACAGTGATTGTTTTGTCCCCTTATGTTAACTTCGTTAGTCATATCTTTTATGCTAGCCTTATCAAACAATGCTGTGGTATCCTCTGATACTCTATGGTAATGCTTAATGATGAAGACCCTTTAATCATGATTTGATTGCATCACTCCAACATCTATTTAACTCCAGCCCTTCACCTTTTGGTTCAGCTTTAAAACTGCTCGCTAGCATCATTATTTCATAGTGTTTCTAGTTACTAGCATTCTGCCTCATCATGGGTTGGATTAACTGCAGCATTTTCTCCCACTTGGATCTTCTTCTTCTAACAGCTGTGACTACAGTCTGCCGGTCTGCAACTTCCACAAGCAAGGGAGCATCAAGTTCTGCCACCAGTCCGCAAAAAAAGACAAATTATGGAAGACCTGCCGAGCAAATTTCAGTTGGAACTGGTGAGATTCATTTCTTTGTCTCCTCAAAATGTAGATCATCTCCTACTCTTTATGTTAATACTACTTACGAAACAAGAACTGATGATCATCTGGGTTCTTAAGCAGTCTTGAAAGTCTGAAAAAAGTATGAAGGGGCATCATTTTCATGTACTGGATAATATTCGGAAAAAAGAAAAGGAGATACTCTTATTCAAAAGCTAAAAATCTATATTTTTTTTTCTGAAATCCAAATAAATTATACTGTGATTTATGTTTAAAAGACATGTTTTTATCCTTAATTTGTCATACTGCACAGTCAGTTTTATTCAAACTTATAGATTCTTGGAAACCTGCAAAAATTTATCTAAAATTAGGTAAAATATTCAAAATAAATGTTGCCCATTGACTAGAGCAAATAAATCAGATTCTGTTAAAAGTAATAATTAAATATTATGAACTTGAAATGAGTTAATTTAAGTTGAAATTAGTTAATAGGTTTTTCTTATTTTCAGTTTAAATCAAGTTGTTATATTGGCAAATTGTCTTACCTGCCTAAATCAAGGGAATATACACTTATTTCAGGAAAAATAACTTCCTTTCATTTCAGTTTTTGCAGTGTGAATCCATTTGGCTCCCTGAATGCGTTCTGTGTTCAATAAGAGACGTCCAAAAAAGCTTTTTATTGAAAACTTATTTTCATAGAGACTTTATTCAGTTTTCTGCTCATCCTGAGAGGAGAGGGAGTCTGAATAAAGTAGAGGAACTTTCCCTCAGCCAGAGAACTAGATTAGAATCTCATTGGCTGCAGCTTTTGATTGCTCCGCCCACATTAAGCACTGTTTGTGTATCCTCGCTCTACTTCAGCACCAGTACTGTTATCATGTTTAGAAATGCTGCTCTGGCAGACTGAAGCTTAGTTTCCCAACAGGATTAAAGGATAGTTTTTGTTTTTTGTTTCTTTACATGAAATCTAAGATCTGAGCAACATCGAATGGACTTTTCCTTTACTCTCAGCTGGGAATCTGTTTTGTTTTCTAACTTGGGAGTTTTGCCATGCTGAAGCAGGTGCCATAATTTTTTAATTATTTTATTTTATTAAAGGCTTCTTTAGTTTATTTATTCATATATTTTCCCAGTCCACGTCCGTCATCTAAGGATGCAGTACCAAAGCTGCAGGTGTGGGCATCACGGATGAGGCGTCTATATTAGGACACAGATTTCTATTTCTATATTTTTTCCATCCCGATTTATTACTGGCTTCAAACATTGAGTAGTTTTCTGCTTTCAAGCCATGCTATGGTCCCCGAAGCTCTCCCTATCAAACATCCATGTGCGTCTGACGGCCAAAGGTTTACTGCGAAACATTCAGCTGCTGTCAGGATGCAGGAAAAGCCCTGTGGTTTTCAAAGCAGGTCTGTCCATTTCATCCATGTTTAATCCTGCTGCTGTTTGGTTGTATTTCTGGAGTTTTTCTGCCTTTCTGTTTGGTAATAGAAGAGCCAAACCTGTTTTTGTTTTTGTTCCTTTTTAAAATCCAGATCTGCTGTTGGCTGTTCATACAAGCTATTTTTAGTTAAACATATAAGTAGCTAAAAAGGCAAATGGCTCAGGTTTCATTTACCCATCTAAGTCAACCGAAACTTCAACTCTGTTAAAGTATATTTAGATGTGGCGATTTTAGCAGCTGTAAACAACCATAAATCTGACATTATTGGAGACCTGCTTTGGTTGATTGTCACCTTTTTAAGGCTCAGGTCTATGGAACTGTCAAAGAGTGTCTGCTCTTCCACTCTGAGACACCCACTCATCTGTGATACTCTGTTCATAATGCTGCTGTGAATCATTAAGATGCTGTTTTTATAAACACTGTTGATGGTATTGAAAAAGCTTAATAATGCAAAAGTCAAGTTTAAATTATTATTAGTTTCTATTAACACTTAATGTTAGAACATTGTTTAAGAAAAAACATGATCTTGTCTACATATGAGGACCTTTTGCTGTACTAGTAAAGGATAATATGCTTTTAACAGCATGATGTGGCTTCTAATTGAGAATCCACTTTTTCAGATTGAGAACCTCTGTTTGATTCTTTCTATTCAGAGAATAGATGACACCAAGCACCATGACAAACATCTAATTGTCAGGGGTCTCCTCACCCATCATGCTTTGCTCTGCGATGTCTCTGAGCAGAACAGTGTCTGTCTTTTTGCTTGGTGTTTTTTTTTTTTTTAAGTTGGATGTTTGACTTTGTGCAGCGTCTCTGACATGAAGGAGGGCAACATTTATGTCTGTTTGGTGGGTTCACAAAGACGGCCCACTGGCCTCCTTGTGCCTCCATTGGTTAAAGAGACCAGGTCTGATTGGTTTGATCAAATGCAGGTTTGTGTGTTATGGAAAGCAGAAGGATGGAGCCGATGATGCTTTTCAAAGTTTCAAAATGTTAATGGAAATACACCTGTTGAAAGACACTAATGTAGATAATCCTTCACATCTCTGATCAGAACCAGACCACTTCTCTGGCTCACATTTCAATGGTTTAACTGGTGACTGCATAAATTATTCAAATTTAGCAGCGTTTCATTTAGACCACCTGTGGTCCTGGATCTGTAGAATGGCTTCATGAATATGCAGACGATGTACTTTACTTCTGTTTGGGTTTCATTTTCTTAAAGATAAGATGACCTGAACATTGAATATATTACAGAATAATGGATCATATCACATATTTAATATCAGCCACAGGACATATCACACAGAAAGATCAGATTATTTACTGTATTTGTTCCTCTCTCTGCAAAGCCACCAGAGGGCAGTGTTATTTAAAGACCTACAGATATCAGTTTCTTGAATCATTGTTTGACAAACTTTTTAGTACAACTATCCAACCTGCTAATGAAAAAACTCTACTTAAGGAAGTAAGACATTATTATACCGTGGGAGCAAAATCTAAATGTTTGAAAACTTTGTTTTTATGACGCTTACAGAATTATTGGCTTGTTTTAGTCAGATTTCAAAGGGTTTCCACTGGAAGCATTTTCAATAAACGAGTAGTTTATTTGTGTGCGAGTGTACATGTAAGAATATTAAGTTAGGAATGAGACTCAGTTTAGATTTAAAGAGTCTGCACTCCACGTTAAGGAACCTACTTCCTCATGTTGCATAATAACTGTCTGCAAAAGTTCAGACTTGGGGAATCTCTTCTTACAGTTTCCTTGGTCATTTCTCAAGTAAAAAAAGATTGAGTCTTTCTAAAACATGGGTGAGCTTTACCATACAGACTTAGCATCTTAACAAAATGCTTAATTTTATTTATTTAAACAATGATTAAAGTCGCAATAAAAAAGAACAGTTTTGGGTCAATCCATAAGCTAGAACAGCTGTTTTAATTATATTAGGCTAATATAAATAAGATTTGTTAAATTTAATAAATGAAACAAATCTTAATTTTGAGCTGCTTTACTAGATTGAAGGTATGCACATTAAATGAATGAAAGCTTTTTCTCAGTTCATATTCCTAAATACTTATAGGAAGAGACCCTTTGAAACTTCATACCATCAGAATTAATTACCTTAATTACCTTACCTTACTCATTAACTGCCCCAGAACAGTTAAAATAATCAAAGATCCAGATTTTCTTTTTATATATATATATATATATATATATATATATATGGTATTTTTATAATGTGGTCAAGGTGTTAAAATTTGTTCTAGAAACCAGCAGCTTTTTACTGTTGTTTTTATTGTATAATAAATTCATTTCCTTTTTGTTTGATTTTTTTAAAGAAATCAAAAACAAACCCTAATCAATTAAAGCTAGAATCTGCAGGTCAGACATCAAAGAGAAGCATAAACTGATGTCAGCATAGAAAAGCAAAGATTTGTGGATCTTTTATTTGAAGATGCTGATTATATCTTTATTCTCCAACACATCAGGTAGCTCAGCTAAACTTTAAATCTCATCTTCTCTTTTGAGTTGATTTTATTCCCGTTTCCTCAGCAGCTCGTGGTGAATTCAGGAAAGGGCCTTCTCCATATTGGCTTTACAATGAATACTGATTCTCTATAGAAGCTCCTGTTAAGAAAACCCTCTCTAGCTTTCCAATGATGTGTTATGTAATAATTTTTTAAGCTCATCAAGTTGTGGATTCCTACCACCCCAAATTGGTGCAGCAGGCCCTACTTGTTAAATTGCCCTTTCAGTTATTTTTCATGTTATCCTTAATGCTCTGTGTCCATTACATTTTCTATTTTCTTCAAATAAAGAAAATAGAAAATTCATTCTGCTCATTGGTTGGAGGTATGTCTTCTGATAATTTAACCCTGTGCTCTGGTGACAAACTTCTTTTCATTAGTCAAAGTAATGGTGCCTATCAGATGTCACTGATGTATTTATAAAGCAGATGTAAATCAAACCTGCTGCAGAATGACCTTGAGAGAATAAGCTGTCCTTGGCTACTGGTTTGTACTGGATTGGATTTGAGGAGCAGCTCTGTACTCATCAGGCTGATGATTAGGAAGTACTCTTCAGGCGTGCAGTAACCCAATCTTTCTTTTCAAACATGACGGACAGATTGGTTGGGTGGCAATCAGCAGGGTTATGGAGGGGAGGATGCTAATGGTCATTGTTATGTTTTTTTTATAGTGAACAAGTGCAAGACCAGCGCCAGGCTACCTCAACAGCAGCATTCCAATACAACCAGGAGGACTGGGTCCCAGAAAGTGGTACAGGATGAAGGCCGACAGCAGAAGATCCAGCAGCTTGAAAAACCCCTTGCATCCAGCGACCGCAGGTTTCAGGCCCTCGTCATCGTTCTACAGCAAACTTTGGCTGAGGTAAGAAAATATATAATATTTTGTTCTTCTCAAAATATGCTGCCCCTTTTTTTTTTTTTTTTTTTTTCAGCTTCCGGGATTAATGTCAAAGGATAATTTATAAAAGATATTTAATAACATATAAGTAATGAGTTTTATCATTGTTTTCAGTGTGCAGCCCTTTTATTATACGACCTGGTGTATACCTGCTGTTGTCAGGAAACGCTTAAGCATCAGGCACATTTCTATTTATAGCTAAAGTCTGTCCAAGCCTTTGAGTGATATGCTAGTTTTTCTCTTAACCAATCAAAACCATGCAATAAACTGTAGAACTTGAAGTTTACACATGTACTCACTATCTGACGGTGAAAACAACAGTGCGGAAGATTTCCAGTGTCTGGTTTATGTTGGTTTCTGAACCATTGATACAGAATTTAAAAAACAATCCACTGGACTGTGTTTCCAAGTTTGAAGATGTTTTGCTATCCCAACCAGGAAGCTTTTTTTTTATTTTTTTTTATATCTTTTTAATTTAGTTATAAACATATGAATTGCACTCTTTACAAATATCAAGTTTTCTAGTCCCCCCCTTTTTTTTATATATGTGGGGGGAGGGCAAATTGACATTTTTCTCCCATCTTTTTTTTTTTTTTTCTCCCACTAGTTCTTTTCATTCTTCTGTCACATTTGCAATTTGATAACAGAACATAACAAACAAGTGCAAACAAAACTATACCAAACAATAAAAAAATATGTTTACATAGAAGAAATATAAATGAAGAAAAACATGAACAGCAACAAAGCCTGTAGGGGGTAGATTAATAAAAAATAATAAAGAGATCAAAATTAGCAATAAGCTCTTTTTGTTGTATATAATAACCATTTTTCCCAGTCCTTTACAAAAGCCTCTTCTTTCATTTTCAATTTATACGCAAGTCGTTCCATTGTTTGGATGTCTTCTACAATACGGATCCATTGTTCATTCAGTATGTTGGGGTTTCAGTATTAAGCCAGTTCTTAGATATTGTTTTCTTTGCAGCCACAAGGAGAATCTTTAGCAGATATTGGTCTTTTACATGTACAGTATTGTCCAAATATCCCAAGTACAACACAAGACAAGATCGGGGTATCACATGCGTCAAAATCTCACAGATAGCTGAGTGAATGGCATCCCAGAATGACTATTTTTTCACATTTCCAGAAAATGTGTGAATGGTCAGAATCCACGTGGTTACAAAGCCTCCAGCATGTTTTTTGAGTTTTCATTTGTTTACTTTTAATTTGGGGTGTTATGAAGTATCTGATCTGGTTCTTCCAAGCAAAATCTCGCCACTGCTGTGATTGTGTTGTAGTTAGGTGAACTTCCCACATGTCATTCCACATTTCCTCTGGGATGCCCTCACCCAGCTCACGTTCCCACCTTGCCCTGACGTATAGAGTTGATTCTTCACCAGGAAGCTTTTTTTAATTCAAAATGTCAGAAATAGAGTTGAGTTCCAGGCTTTATAGAGTGGACCAACAACAAAGCCTTGTGTTGGCTCAATTTGCATGTTTTCTAAGGCATTGTTGACCTGAATGACTGAGAATCTTCACCAGATACAGAATTTTGTTGAATTTTAATTACTTAAAAAAAAACAAAAACTGAAACAATTTCAAGATATTTTAATTCCAGCTTTCTGATGAGATTAGAAGAGCAGACTCGTAAAACAGTGATTTAATCATCTAAAACCGATACATTTACATCCTTAACAGCTTAATTGAATTTCAGCTATTTCAACATAAAATGTAATATCTTTACTATTATCATTAATATTATTATTACTATTAAATATAACTTCTATTAAGAAAAAACATGTGGAGTTAAAGGGGAACACCGTTTTTTTTACATTTATATTTTTCTAAAACAAAGCGGCGCGTGTGTGACATCATTCATGCTCGCCAGCTACCGTTCATTCATCCTGTCTACTGAACTGCTGCTAGTTTTATTTACATGCCTGGAAGATGTCTAGTGCTACTACCACAGATGATCTCGCTCCCCAAATGGAATTGAACGATTCAGATTAGCTCCCCGAATGAATGGAAGGGGTAGAGTGTAGCCGCCTGTGGCCCGGGCAGCCTGTCACTAATCCAATGCGGTGCACGGATGACGTCATACACACTCTGCTTTGTTTAAAAAAATATAAATATAAAAAATATAACCGCGGATGTCTGGGGACAGTGATGCGCCTACATGTTATGAATGCTGGTGTACCATAAATTATCAATTTATAAACAGTTTAAACATAAACAGTTTAGTTTGTGCCTTCAACTCGTTGCCCATAGGAAGACGTTACTTGGATTACAAAACCGAATATCTTCAGAACAGCTCCAAATGACACAAAACTCATATGGGTGGGTAGAACATGATGTAATTACGTAAAACCAAGGGCCAAATGTAAAAAAAAAAAACGGTGTCCCCCTTTAAATCTAAATTTTGAAGCCAACTATGTAAGAAAAGACTATCCTACCTTGGCTGATGGGACTGAAAGGCCTTTTCCCTTTTTAGGACATACCTAAGCAAGGCTTTTTTTTTCTTTTTTTTTAACCTTAAGTTACCTAAAATAAAACATGGAGCACGTGTACAACTGGACAGCGATAGTCCTGCATTGCTAACAGGACCCCCCTACTACACACACTTGATCCTAGTTTGATTTCTTTTTTTATCACACTTTGTTGAAGATTTAATTTTTTGGGGGAAAATAAAAGTTAATACTTGGAATAATAATTCTCCTTTTAATTAAACCTGTAACATCTCTTTTGTTTTAAATAGCATGTCTGTGCTTCTTAAGTTTATTTCTAGTTCATTTTGTTTGCTGTAAATAGTTGTTCCAGTGAGCGGTCTTACCTAGTTGTCTAATGTGAGCGTGTGCTCTGAGATGTTTGCATGTACCCGGTTCGATCCCCACAGACTGCCACTCTGGGTTCCTGAGCAAAACCCTTAACCCCCACCTACACTGCTCCTTGGTCGCCGCACAATGGCAGTCCACTGCTCCCCCAAGGTGATGGTTTAATAAACGGATTTACATTTACATTTTAATAAACAGGTGATGCTAGTCACCAGCTGATATCTGATATCTTGCATATTAATTAATTAATTTAAACTTTACTAAATACTCCTCAGTTCCAGCACACCACTCTGAAGAAGATTAAACTTCATTTGCTTTGTATGTAGTCTGAGAGCCTAAGTGTGTATTTTCTTTGGAGACTAACAAAAAAACAAATTTTAATAATTCAGACACCTCTTTTTCTGCAGGGTCTAATTCTTTCCTCAGAAGTGACGGAGCTAACAGGTTAACCATATAAACATCTAGATTGTAGCGCTGAATGACATTGTGTTCTTGGATAGTGTGGTTGTTCATTATTCATGTGTTTGAGGCAGCCGAGGAACAGGAGGCTCCCGACACCCGGATCGGTTCCTTCAACGAATGACTGTTATTGGGAGTCACCCTTGTGCTTCATTTTCTTTTAGCCTACATCTCTAGAGATTCCTTGTAATCACAGTTTCAGTTGGTGTAATAGAGTTTAGATCATTTTCTTTCAGATCAGATTTAGTGTTTGCAACATTTTGTCATAAATAGATGTAAGATCCATAGAGGACATGGAGAAATGTTTTATTTTAAGTTACAGAGCAGATCCTGGAGGATTAGCCTTTCTCAGCGCTGTTTTCTACATATCATCACAGTTGACCAAATTCAGAGTAGGATCAGTTTAATGAGCATGTCGCCTCTGAAATGTGGCAGCTATGTGGAAGGCACACAGCGTGACCTTTAATCACTGATGTTTGACTCATGCCCTTCTGTTTGGGCAGCAGGGTTGTGAAACCAGAGGCATTACCAAATCTTAAAAACACATTTGTTCCTCTGGCAGAAAAACAGCTGTCGCTGCTCCTCCCTCTGACTCAATATAATTCTTACAGTTTAAACCACTTTATGTTTGACTTTAGAGCTGTTAAACCCCAATACATCTCATTTACAACAAGTAGATTAATCAGTGATTTGACACGCACATATTTACTAACAGGTCTTATCCTTTTTATTGATATCACTGATGGTGAATTGGGGAATGGAATCTGGTGGCTGATCTTAATGCCATTAATAGGAGGCACCAGCCTGCCTTGCTAGTGTGAGAATGTCCCAGCTGTTGACTTGATATGGTTATAAAGTGGGTGCTGCGTCTTATCTGTCTGGATAAGGACTGAGTGCTGGTTCTGCCTTCTATCCTATTATCTCCTCTCACTTCATTTGAAGCTTTAGAAAACTCAACAGCTTAATTGATATAAAAATAGTTTTCATATCATTGAAACTTTACCCATTTTGTCAAAGTATAATTTATTTAAGGATACGGTTTCTTAGGCCAGACATTTTTTTTCCGTTTAAATGAATAATATTTAGAAAAGTAGAAAGGGATTTTTATTTTTTTCAATTAATTCCCTTTGATCTCATACCTCTAGGATGAATCGGTTGCCAGTTGTTAAGAGACTGTCCACAGCTCACAGGTTGTCCCAGCAAGAAACTAGGGATTTCAATTTTAGTCTGGTGCATTGCGGTCTCTAACAAATATTGCTGCACTGTGTCACATGTGTGACCATTGTTTATTTACTTGGCCATACGACATAATACAAATCTTCTAGTAACGTATTACTGTGGGATGGTTTAAAAAGCCTCTCCTTTGTATGGTATTATTTTTAAAAATGATGTGTAGATTTTTTATTTTTTGTAAATACCCTGCTACTCGATTTCATCTCCAGGTTAATGTTTTAATCCAGATGCTCCAGACGACTCTACTATTGATGAACAATGATCCCACCAGGAAGGTCTGGAGCAGAGATGACGGGAAGCTTTAAAACAGGATCTCAATCTCTGAACTTCTGTAGGGTCATGGAGGCAGTTGAGCTAAACGCAAAGCCTGGAGAAAAAAAAAAAGAACTCTCAAAAAACCTAAAAACTAAACCGCTTAGTATTTTAATAGAAATAAAATCCAAAATATTTAACCAGAACGACATAGAATGGTTTAGACCACTGGTGTCTGAAGTGCGGCCAAGGGGCCATTTGCAGTCCCCAAACCAATTTTCTTCGGCTCCCCCAACTACAATTCTTGAATGATTGTTTCGCAAAGTACAGGTAGTTAATGGGCAGATGGTGACCTTTTATTCTTAATTAAGGCAGAATTATTTACATTGCAAGTGCGAAGAATTGTTGCGAGATTTATGAATTCACAAACCTGTTGAAAATAAATCTTACCAAAGGCCAATAGATCCATTAGCCTTGAATATTGAAATTGTACAGATGGATACTGTGTGGAAGTCAAATTGAACTTAGCAGTGCAATCCGACATAATCCAGATTGATCCGCTATTACTACAGTCAAGTTTTTACTGAAATGCAGATTAATTTATTAAAATGGTCTAAATACAGCAATCATTTTCAAAAATGATCCCAACTCTGTTCTTGATGCTGAAAAGTGATAATTTTCTTTTCCTTTTTAGATCCAGACCCAAAATAATTTGCAATCTTTATGGCCATCTTTTAGTATGGCAAGGACACACATCTCTATCATTTCAGAAAATCTGGCCATATCCTCATATTTTTTGGAAAATGTACAAAAAACTCCTTAACTTTGATGTTTAAAAATTTAACAAGAATAATATTGTATTATTTTCACCTCACGTATATTTGACATGTTTTAGCCCATAGCATACTCAGGTTTTAGGGTGGTCCTTTTAAAGTATAGACCCGAGTTCTCCAGAAAACTAAATGATCTTTTGTAGATGCTTTCCATCAGCTTTAGTTCATTTTTTTTCTTATTTTTTTTTTTCAAACAAAGGTTTTTTCAGTCTCTAGATGTTTGAACAAAGAAGCACATGATGCTTATCACCATGTTCTTATTATATAGACTACACCACTGTGTGATCTGTATAATGTTCACTTATTTATATGGTCAGTACATCTCTGCATTGCAAGTGTAATAACCCAAGTGAACTACTATGTAGTCTTCCCATAGCTCTCTTCAGTGCAAATTTTTTTTTATAGAAGGGAAACCTATTCCAGGACATTACAACTTTTTCTTTTTTAATCCTTTTTTTTGTACTATATACAGTCTTTTTATATTGTCTGCTCTATTTCTATCTTTAATTGCAACTTGCTTTAACTCTTTGTTCTCTATATAAGCTACTGGAACTGGAATTTCCCTGAAGGAATAATCCCAAAGGATAAATAAAGTTGAGTCTAAGTCTTTCACAGAAACATCTGCACTGTAAATACAGCTGAAGGTTGCTCTACAAACTGTTGACTGAAAGGGACTAATGCATGTATGCCTTAGTTTTTAGATCGTTTGTGAAACACTTTTATAAGCTTTATAAACACTTCCATGAGCGTGGGACTTCCCCCCCCCCCACGCTCATACAATCAGAATAACAGGAATATTGAATAACAATTTTTCTTTCTACGTCATGCATCTGTTGCTGTTTTCCAATAAATCAATGTTACTGGAACACGACCTGCAGCCGTTTGCCTCTTATCTCGGCCCACATTGTGACACTACTCTAAACCAAGAATATCTTCTTTATGCTCTCATGGGACATTTATAGCATCATGAAGCCGTAATGAAAAGGAAGGTATTATGACCCCCTAAATTTGAACTGTTTTCACTCCATTGTAGGATCCACCAGATCATTGGTGTGATTCATTTAAATGTGCTACACAAATCCTGGAAAAGTTGAACAGCGAAAAATAAATGCCAACTGTGACAGTTTTTGTGTAACCTTTCAATAGTTATCAATAGCTTCTGAGTGTAGTAATCTTTTTTCTTGTACTTCATATTGATTGGGCATTGACTGTAAGAAGTCTTGTTCATGGAGAAGATGGTAAATTGATCTGTCATGGCATTAAATCATCTCCTAATGGAGAGGCTGTGTCAATGCAGCCTGGAGTTGGGGGATGGTAACAAGGAGGACATGGCTGTGATTAACCTGGGTGGGTCACTCCACTGAAGTGGTCCTCTCCCTTCAGCCTGATGTCAGCCAGCGCTGTGCAGTTCATCTGTTTACTCCCCTCTGACTGCCTTTAGAGCTGTGGGGGTGGTCCTTTAGCGAACTGCCCCTGTTTCCTTTTTAGATGCAGTACGGTAAAGCCCTCTGCAGCCAGTGGAGCAGCTTTTTCAGTCATGCCTTTAGATGTAGTGAGCTCAGTCTGAGAAGGGAGTCCATGTGGAGGTGGTACATCCACCTGGACCACTGTCCGTCCTGGATTACCAGGTCTCCATAGCTACCAGAGGGGACTCCAGCACCCGAGCCTCAGGCTGAGGCTGGATAATGGGCTGTGCTGGCAGCAAAGCTTGTATTAGTGCTCGCTGCGCTGCAGAGAGGGTAACCGGCTTCCACTTTGTTTTCCTCCGCTGTGAGACAGAGAGGCAGTTCAAAGTGATGAGTTTATATTAGCATATAGCTTGCCATCCTGTCTCGTGTTTCTCTCTGATGTTTATCTGGTACTGTTGGCTTTTTCATGTGCATTTGCATGATTTAATGAAGTGTCACCCACAATGTGACATGTGGAGCGTCAGGTTGCAGATGTAACTCATTACTATAAGAGGGAGGATGGTAAACTGGACGGTCTCTGCGTCTGTTTGAGGGTAGCTGTAGCACTGCAGCACAACCTGCAGCTGCAAAACTGACTCATAAAGACTAAGGAAGTTAGGGTGACACGAGAAGTGTTTGAAACTGGAAACATGAGCTGAGTGCCGAAGGGTTTTTACTTCTCCTCCCAGTATCAGGCTCTGTTTAGCAGCATCTGTGTTGGTATCTTTTAGTTAGCTGTTTTCCAGAAAGCTGTCCAGAAAACTGGGATTTACTAGATTCCAGTGCTTATGGTCAGTAAAGTCTTTGCTTCTTTCTCTGTCTGTATCTCTGACGTTTGTATGTTTTTCTCTGCAGCGTGATGAAGCCACCAGGCAGAGCAGACAGCTGTCTCAGGAACTGGCCAACCTCAAAGGAGAACTGGGTACGTTGCAATATAACGGCGTTCTTCAGTGGTCATTGCTTCAGTTTATGCCCCCAGTCTCTATTCAGCTCCTTTTTATTTGTATGATTAAACAGTGTTGTCATTGACCAGTTGGATTGAACCTAAATTAGCTTCTGCTGATTTTTCCATTGGTCATTAGATCTATCGTTTCCTATTGAAGAGATGTCTGTTATTCCAACCGCTTTGCCAGCTGTGTAGTTTATATTTATATATTGACCATTGCTGATTATAGTAGTGTTGGTCCACACCCCCTGAGTGGCTCCCACTGGTGGAACGCCACACCACTGCTGGCCTTCAGGGTGCTGAGGAACAATAGATCTTTTATGTCCTGTTTAGGGGTTGTCACTCTGAGTAGCCTTGCACATACATGCATGCTTCAACTCCTGTCTTCACACCAGTATTTATACATCTCCCCTAAGGCGTGGAGGCGTTTAGACACCCCCATCCTCCCCCACAGACGCCTAAGAACTCCCACATGACTACTTTTACATGCGGAGTGCCGTTTATATTTGCTCTTTAACACAATCTTCTGTTCAGACCAGCTTGGAGACCCACAGGAACATCAGTCTTTTTGGACCATTATGGGTCTCAGCCTGTTTACAGTATAATAATCCCAGTTTAGATATAGAAAGCATAAATACCTAGCCTAGTAGCAGGCTAGAAAAGCCCATCTTCCTGCTAACTTGACTGTTTTTTCAAATCAATTTCCACTCATTTGGTCATTTCTTCAACTGTCACAAGTTTTTTTCTTTGTGGGTTAACCAGTTAGCTGTTACCGCTTCATCCAAATAGTCTGGTTGTAATTCCAATAAAAAGGAAAAAAACGACAAATGTTTCACAATTGTTTCAAATTGCAGTAATAATTTTCTGTCTTCATTTTTATTTCTTTAATAATGTTTTCTGTTTTCTATCTTCATCCTCCTGATTGTTTTTTCAAAATAACCAAGTAAGAGTTTAACTTGGTTACAGCAGTAAATTCAATACTAATCGCCTCTTTAGTCTTTCCTTATTCAAAAACATCAATATTAGCATTTCATCATCATCAGACAAAACAGATCTGTAATTTTTAACCCTTGACTGTATCTCTCTGCAGCAAAGTACATTTTAAATTTTTGCATTATTACTCAAAGTAAACTTCATATATTTGGTGGGTAAATTGGTGACATAGTAGAGTGTATTGCTAATTAGATCTCGGCATGTATGAGCAATCAGGTGGACAAACATTTGGTTTCATGATAAAACATAAAGGTCAGGATGTCTTTATTTTTAACCATAGGTGTATATAAGGTTGCATTACAAAAGAGATTCATCAGTAAAAGTCAAGATACAAATATAATGAATACGAAAATTAGGAAAATTGTTTAAGATCATATTTACCAGCAAAAGGTTAATATTCTGCCTGATTAAAGATTTTTAAAAAAAGTTATGTCTTAAGTGTAAACTAGTCTAAATGTATTTAATAATTTCCATACATGGCTGTAAGTTTTGTTAGCATGAGCCAAAGGGAATCAGAAAGGAGCTAAATGTTGGCTCAGATGGGTGGTATAAACTGACCAGGAGCCAGAAGGGTAGAGCAGAGGGAACTTTCTACACAGCATGAACTGAACACATCTATTTTTAGTTTGATTCTTAAGTCCTTCACTAAACATGCCAGCCTTTTAATGGCTGACAAGTTCAGTTTAACATGGAACACCCTGATAGTTTATCTCTTAAATATGACAGCCGTTTGTTCACAGAAGCTTCAATTGTTTAACAGTCTCCCACCTAAAGTCAAAAGCAAACTCTAACTCAGTGGCAACAGTAACTATAAATGTTAGATTACGATATAAATGTAACTATTTGTAGCTTGGAATAGGTTTTGAGTCACCATTAAAGCGCTATAACAAGTGATTTGTCACTTGTTATAAAATATTTCTTTGTACTTTTCAGTAAGTCAGCTGTAGTTTGCTGGGCAACCTCCGCACTGTAAAGTCAGATTTTTCCATTCCTTTTTGGACACCATTTGATGCTAGTGTGGGCTAAATCAGGATCCCCTGGAAATGTTTAGTGACTCACTACAGCAATCTACCCCATCACTCTTTTGATAAATGCTAAACTCTGCCTTTTGTTTTTATGACAGCTTCTTCTGTCCACTCGTCTGAGTGCCTGGAGAGGGAGAAGGAAGAGCTGCATGCTGCTCTGCACCATGCAACACAGAAACTACAGGAAGAGCACAGAAAGGAGCTTGCTGAGCTGGAGCAGCGGCTACAGGCTGCTCACAGGGCTGAATGGGACCATGTTCAGCTCACCTATCAGGAGGAAGCAAACAAATACAAGACCCTCATGCAGCAGCAGGTCAACCCAGATTTTAACTTTTAATTTACCCTTTCGAGTTTAAAGGCAACAAGAAGTGACACAATTTGAACATATTTAATGTTAATTTTATTTTGGAGGTTTAAAGAAATCATATTTTTTTTTTAGATGGAGGAACTGAAAGCCAACCATGAAGCCATGAAGATGCAACTAGAGAGCTGCCATGCAGAGCAACTGCAGTCAGTCAGGCAGCAGTATGAAACCTCTATGGAAGGTGAGGACAGAGCAATGGATCCCCTTTTTTGACTAATGAAATGCTATTTTTAATAAGATTAAGTAAATGTTTGTCTCATTATCTTCCCTGATGTATAATAATTTTTCTGAACTTTGCAAACCTCTCAGAACTCAGGAAGGTCCACGCACAGGAACTCCAATCTATTGAGAAGGCTCTAAAAGATACAAAAACCTCTCTGTCTGTAAGTTTTTCTGTTTATTTACACCTTAGAGTTTGTGTCTGTGTATTCCAGCTTGTCCACTGGTTTTATTCACTATCTGCATCCACAGGCACAGATTCAGGAGCTGACAGTAGAGAATAATGTCCTGTTAGAGAAGCTAGCTGCAGAGGAGAGCAGGAGGAGAGAGCTGGGTGAAAACACTCAGGTACCTTTTGTCTGCGATGCAGAAAGGACTCAGTGTTGAAACCCCTCATGACTCTGGTGCCGTTTGCCTGCGGGTATCCAGAGTGGGTTGGAGGGGGGGCAATAAAGCAAAAGACTTCCTAAAAGATATACTATCACTGAATAGAGATAAAACCAATATTTATTATGAAAGCATGAGTTCTTTGAAACACAATCATTTATCAATGCACAATAAAGAACTAATTGTTCTTCAGTTTATAAAAAGTTTTCTTGGAAGCATTAAAGTCTTATACCTTTATACAGACTATGACCAGCAGCTATATGGCTGCAGAAAGTAATAACTGAAACCTCTGCCTCTTTAACTCACATAAAGCCTTAGAGCAGAACAGACAAAATGACTAGTAGTCAGAGCTCAGTGGAGCCCTCTGCTGGTTGTTCTCACTCTATTTTCAGTTAGAAGATGTGCTGTATGGCTGCAGTGTTCCTATCCTGGTAGACTTTAATCATGTTGCTGCATCTTCTCCCTGCAGAAAGACTCTCACGCTCTGTATTTGGAGCAGGAGCTGGAGAGTCTCAAAGCAGTGCTGGATATAAAAAACGAACAGCTCCACCAGCAGGAGAAGATGATGATGGAGATCAGCAAACTGGTGAGAGCTGGATTGCATGCAGGTTTCCAAACAACGAGGAAGAAAATATAAAGGACAAAGAGCTGCCTGACCCCTAAAATATCTTCATCTGTCTCTAACAGAAGGAGAGAAATGTGAAGCTAAATGAGATCCTCATAAAGGTCCAGCAGGAGAATGAGGACCTGAAGGCTCGAATGGAAAGGCACGCCGCTCTGTCAAGGTACCAGATAAACTGAAAGTTTTAACTAGAAATAAACCTCCAATAAAGATTTAACATGATCATGCTAATTTTTCTAGAGTTCCCAACCTTAAGCATGTTATTATTCAGCAGGTCTGGTGATTGAAACTGCATTCGCTGTTTGTTTGTTGATCCTTTTTACCTGCTTTAGATTTTAAGCCTTTAATTTAATTTAAGACTATTGATAGTGATCAATCTTGAGGTTTTGGAGGGGCCCAGGCAGAGACCCTATTAGGTCCAACAGAGGGAGCTAAAGATTAGGGTGAAGGAAAGAAGGCTTCCAATCATGGAGACTTGGTGCTTATCAGTACTGAAGTTATGAGAAGAGCCGTGGCTTCGAGGCGTGTGTCGAGTAATGGAGGGGGCATTTCTGTGAGGCGTGTATCGAGGCTTGCTACATTTGGGGGAGGAGCCAAAATAGATGTAGTCCGAAGCCTCGCTGCCCGCCAGACTATGTGACCGCTTGGGGAAGTGGAACTTCGGCAGGCATTTACACAGCCTCAGTATTCAGTCAGATGTGGGAGTTTGTATAAGAGATGGATAAAGTTTGGATATATTCTACGAAAAGATTGGTGCTTTTTCCAACCAATCTAGTTGGTTAAAACTTGTTTGGTTAGACTAAACGATGTAATAGATAGATGTAATAGATTTTAAAATAGATTTTGTAAAAGATGGACTTCCAATCCAAGGGTTGTTGGTTCAAAGCCCCCCCTCAGTTTTTCAAAAGTGTTGATAAAACATATCTAGTATTTTGGCTAATGTGACTAATTTGCATTTGTTGCCCTAGTATAAATATAGATTGGTGGGTTTAACCAAAAGACTGGTTGAACACATAACTTCCAACCCGATTAAAACCACAAACTGTGCAAATTGGGCAATGAGGAGAAAATGAAAGGTCATTTTTATTTAAACATAATAGTTTTTCCACAAACACTTTCACTATCTGCTTGAGCTTATTTCACTAAAATGGCAGAAAACTATGTACCTAAAATTATTGTTCTCTTCTAAGACATTTTACACACACAAAAAAAAAATACTTAAGAGTTTATTATACAGACCTAACATTAACAATTTCAAATGAACTTATTTGGGGAAAAAATAAACAAGAAAATATTTAATATTGCAAAAAATTAGTTATATTACTAACTGTAGTTCTGCCTTCTACCAGTGGGTGGCGACATGTTTACATGAGGCTTCATGAACTGTGGAGATTGTTGAAGCAATTTGGCCAAACGGTTCAAGGCCTCATGAGGCTTCATCTCACCATCACTACTTATCAGGAAGGTAGAATCTTCAGAGAACCAGTAGACGTTAGGAAGATGTAGGTTTTAAAATCGGAAACAAACAAAAAGATGTATACTCCTGGCAGATTTAAATATATATATATCGTTATGAGCCAAACTGTCTGTTGGTGCTTTCAAAGATTAGAAATCATTGAAAGGTAAGGGTTGAGTATCCAACCAGCACTGATTAATCTAATATTTGTAGATTTTGGTCATTGAGAGGATTTCTCTCTTTACATTAAAACTAGTTTGTTAAAAGTTTGATGGACCAAAATAATTAATGGAAAATGGGGACTTGCTGATGCCTCAAATGTTTAGTAAATATTTTTCTGCCGCCCCACAGACAGCTGTCCACAGAGCAGGCCGTGCTGCAGGAGTCCCTTCAGAAGGAGTCAAAGGTCAACAAGCGGCTTTCTATGGAGAACGAGGAGCTGCTCTGGAAGCTCCATAACGGAGACTTGAGTAGCCCCCGCAAGCTGTCCCCCAGCCCTACCTCACCCTCCCACCCCTTCAAGCTGCAGTCCCCTCGCAGCTCCGGCTTCTTCTCCAGCTCCCCCGTCTCCCCCAGATAACAGTGGGCCCCTGCTTCCAGGAAGCAGACCGCTGTGTTTGGTTATTCCTCTGGAACAAAAGCTGTGATTGGATCCTGTCGATGGAACGGACCGAGACCCGGATCAACTCAATCACCTCCTGTACAAACATGCAAAATACTGTATAAAAAAAATATGTTGCACAGAAGCACTTAAAGCCACCTTGTTCTTTGCCTTTGACACCTGATCGGATTGATAAAGATGGAGGAAAAAAAGAATCTCAGGACTTTTATGTACTGAAATACTATTTTTGTTGTTTGCTATCAGAGGTTTGTTTTCCCGAAGCTCAGCACACGCTAACAAACGGTACATGCATGCACCGTTAGCCTTTCCCTGTTAAAGATGGCTGACTTTCTGTGATCCAGGACTCCACAGCCAGAATCTGACTACAGGATAGTTTGGGTTGTATATATTTATTCAGAATATCTAAGAAGCTGGAATTGTTTTGTTTGGACTTTTGCACCTTTTCTCACAATGCTAACAGTCAGTTTTACTTTCATACACTGGCCTTCTACACCCAGTTCCTTAAAGTTGTTTTAGTGTGGATGGTGTGTGTTCCTATTATTCCCAGTCAGCTTAGAGATCTCCTGTGGTCTGTGGTTTTCTTTAAGCAGGATATCATTCCAAGTCTTGCTTCTTGTGTTTGAGTTTTGTTTGTGAGGAAGGAATATTCCTCACACAGCTTTAAATGTACGATTCTGTTTTCAGGTTTGCTTGTATATATCAGGAACATCAGATTTTTGAAAGGTAGGAATATGTCGTGTGGAAATGTATACCAGATATGCTGAGCCTGTTTGAAATATGCAATTAATAAAGACTTGTATTAAACGTGAAGGGAAATTATTGACTACAGATTAAATGCTAAAGAGACAGCATTTAATCTAGTAGAGGGCATACAGCCTGAATGTGAGCTCTTTAATCCGTTATTGGATGTAATCCAGCACACATCTCAAATCTGTAATCATTGTTTTTGCAGTGCAGGAGTCATTGCACCAGTCCAAACTGGGCTCGGTCGCTGCAGAACACATTCCACATAAGGAGCACATTAGCAAAAAATCCAACTTTAAACCAGATTCCAATGTCTAGCAGTGCAAAAAAAGTCAGACTGCTGTTTTGTTTTGAGTTTTTATTTGTTTGTTTTTTTGCATACATTTTCAGTTTAATTTGGAAGGAGGAGAAGGTTTCCCTGGATCTTTACTGTTCTTTTTCACCAAGAAATTCTCCTTTAATGGTTTACCTCATCTTAACATCTGTATGTGAAACAACTTTTTTTTTTTCCCCTGTGAGGTTTTTAATTGGCTGCCTTTGCTGCTCTTGGCACTTCAGTTTAGGTGACAGTTTTTGTTTTTTATTCTCTCCTGCTTTGTGGAAAAAGGGGAGGTCTGAAAGGTCTGAAAGCATGACTCAGTTTGTTCAGGCTGTTTCTTCATGACTCCCTCCGCAATGACTCTGCTGACTTTAAACTCTGTTCTCTGCAGCATTAATAAGTATAGGCAGGTTGATGTCATCAAAGTACATTAAGGGTTTCCAAACCGCTTAATAAATTGTTATTTAAATGACATGTAAACATCAGCAGCGCAATTAAAAAAATCTTTATTTGTTGAATATCATTTTGTGAGCAGACTCGTTTTATCTGGACCTGCAGATGGTTCTTTGTTAAAAGCTTTACTTATGGAAAAAAAAATCCATCCTAATAAATCTGAATCCTTTGCTTCTTGGTGGGATTATGAAGCCAGGATTTTGGTTGCTACGCTCGTCTCCCCATGCTTGTTCTTAGCTCTACAGATGTAGTTGCCATAGTCGATGGTTTCTACATCCTCCACAGCCAAGGTGCTCTGGGAGATCCTCGTGGTGTGGCCCATCCCTCTGTTAACCAGCCTCCACAGTGTATGGATGTTAACGGGACGCTGACCCTGCAGTAGAAGCACAAACACTTTATTATGAAAGAGGATGAAATGCTGTTAGAGCTGTCGCTGCTTCAGGACGCAGCAAGACGTAAGGAGGGTTAGGATAGTGCATTTCTGTTGCACTTTTCAGTACTTTATATAGGTTACTTTCAGTAACAATATTTAAGTATAATGTTGACTTTATTTTGACTCAGACAGATTTATTTTGTCACTTTGTATACACAAGTATAAACGAAAAGAAATTTCGTTAAGTACAGCTCTCTAGACAATTTCATTTTTTTTTTAAAGTGCAGCCTTTAAAACAGTAAAAAAAGATACATAAAAACAGTAATATAAACATAACTATATTTACAGTTCTAACATTTGTTTTTTCTTTTTTAAATAATAAAATATAAAAAGTACATAAAATAATATAAATAAAATAAAATAACTCAATCTCCAAATGAAAATTACATTAAACCAATGAAGCTTTAGTAGAAAAACACTAACTTGAGCATAAACTGTGGACGTATGTCTCTGAATTTTTATTTAAAACAAGTTAAAGCGATTCACTCTATAGGTTTAGTATCCTGAAAGAACAGCAATAATTAGTTATATTTATCAAAGTAAACGTAAAAAAACAATATGGAAAAGCTACTTTTTTTTTCTTTAAAAAATAAAAAACTACAGTAAATGTATCTGGGTAAATATAACTAGTATAATATAATAGTTCCTAACCACCCCTGTGGTTTATGACGGCCCTAGCTTTCGACATGCACACAGCTGAAGACACATCTGTTTACAGCGCAGCTGGATGATTTGTTTGTTTGCTTTATGATCATATAGCGTCGTCACAGGCCATCCCCAAATCAGACACATTTTTTTGTTTTTGCAGGGCAGCCAGAGCACCGTTCATAACCTGTGGAGCCTTTTTGCTTTAAGTTTTTATGGTTCAGCATTCCAAAATATTCCCATATTGGATAAATGGAGCAGTAATTTTATACAATATTGTATTCATTTTACAAAATATAATCCTAATATTTTTCATGTTAGTAAACAGTTAAAGTTGGCTGTGACATTAGATGTTAGGCTACTTATCTATTAGGTGTTTGCTGTTGTAATAATCATTGGTGTGATTTCTCAGAAAAAAACATCTGCAAAACTTTCCAAATTGGTACTGAATGTTTGTTTTTACTGGAGCTCTTCTGATTCTCCTCTCCTTTTACTTACCGCTTCTGTTTTATAAAGCTATTGTTACTTCAGAACCCAAAAGAAAGCTGGAAAAAATGAATTTATATGCTCATTATTCATCCATTTTCATATTTGATTTTGTAGAAAATTGTAAAATAATAAAAAAAAAGACCTGCTCTTCTTTTTTTCTGAAATATCTTCTGAAACGAAATAAAGTTTGTCGTATTTTCAATGGTTGTTTCAGTTTGTAAAAACGATGGACGAATTTTAATGTGTTATAGATAATGAAATCCCTCGATTCAGTTTCTCAGATCATTAGAATCAGACGGTAGTCGGCTAATAAACTCTGCAAAAATTTCCTGAGTCTTTGTCTATAGGTGTCAAGACTGCACTGTGTCCACAAGACTCCAGATACCCTTGCTTAAGAAAGTTGTTTGGAGAACTGCAGGTTCATAGAAAGTTAAGTGGAGGAAAATAAATGTAGGAAACATGCACAATCCATTCAATAATTTGGGAGAGCTTTACACAAGATGGACTGAGCTTGGAGTCGGTTCATCAGAAGCCTTTACATGCAGAACCACAAGCATCCTACCTGCACTAGGGATGAAAAGAATTGGAGTTTTTCTTAGTGACCCAAAGTCATTTCTTCAGATCAAAGCAAAGTTTCCATTTTAAAGGGTGAGCAGGATTCCAGAGTCTGGAGACACAGAATCCACATCGATTAACTCCAGTGGGAAGTTTTCAGTCAGTAATGAATTGGAGTGACCTGTCAACTACTGGAGTCGGTCGATGCAGCTTGGAAAATGTTACTGTAGATACTTCATGCTTCCTTCTGCTGCCAAGCTTTATGGAGACGCTGACTTTATACTCTTTCAGGACTTGGTTTATACCCAGAACCAACAATGGAGATGAGCTTAAAGCTGCTATTAAAGCAAAGTGGACTTCCATTCTAAGTTCTGTTGAAACGTTACAGGAACTTTATATCTTCTCCGCAGCAAAAGGAAGCTAACCCCCAGTCTATAAAAGGCTTCCACTGTCTTAACCTTGAGGTTTTGAATATTATTGTGTTTTATTAAGTTTTAAACCATTATTTTTGTTGGGAGGATTATTTAGGGATGAAAACAGGTTTAAATGGTGTTTGCCATCACTATTCTCCCTGTGTGGATCAAAAATACTCGTCCCTGAATGTGTTCAGAAGTACAAAAAATAATGTTTTTTCCTCTGATTCTAGTGTTTGAAGGCAGTTTCAGCTTGACCAACTTGGCACTACAAGAAGAATACCATAGGAAGATTTAAATTAGGTTTATCTGTCTCTTTCTTTCCGTTTTCTTAAGTCCGGATGAGTCGGTTGCTCTGATGACCACAACTGGGAGGGACTGCAGTATCACGACTGACAGGCTCTGAGGTATTGGGGAGTTGTCCAAATCAAAACCTGAAGTATTTGTTCATATTAATGTTTTAAGAAAAGTCCTTGGGTATGTCCTGCGCAAAACAAAGCTGGTGCCACCAGTGCTGAATATAGAATATGTTACTTTTTCTCATTTCAAATGAAACTCTAGCATGATTTACAGAGAGATGATTGGTAACGTGTCACCTCCTGCAACTGTTTCCTATGAATATTGATTAGCATCTTTGTAAAAAAACCACTTGGCATTAAACAACAACAGTTTAAACTTTAAAGTTTTGTTGTGCTGTGATGCATTTCGTGCCCTGATGTTTTTATGAGTAAGTATTGTTGAAAACAGTTAGTCAACTCATCCTGCAGACAATATAGGAAGCAAACCTCTCTATAGACATTTCCGCAAATCAAAGAATGTTTTGGGTTCAATCTAAGCAGGTTTCATGCAAACTACAGCTCACAGGTCTTTGAAAGACTAAACCATCCTGTTGTAGTGAAACAGTGAACGCAATTCAGAGGAAAGGTTGTCTAAAATTTCTTTCCCTGACTAGAAACCTACTAACAGATTTTATAGGTGGTATTTATTCTTTAAATACCTGCTCCTTCTAAATTATGCTGTTTTGACTTTGTTCCCTTACCTGTCCAGGATAAGCCCAGCTGAAGCTCACGTCCACCTCGGGTTCTCCCAGTACAGTGCAGGTCAGGTTAACATTGTCTCCTCCTCTCACCGTCTCAGGAGAGGCTCCAAGGTTCACAAATGGTGGCCCACTGGGAACTGTCAGCAGGAGATTTAGATTAGACACTTTTAAAACCCACACCTCAAATAGGTTCCCTCTTGTGAAGCAAAAATATCCCTATGATGTTCAGTAACATGGAATTATGTTAATACCCTTTTTCACTTATAATTTTTGTCTTTTAAACAGCATAATGAGGACAAATCCATCTAATGCTCACCTATGGCTACACTTTGTTACATAAACCCAGAAAGAAAGATTTTTAAAAACATTGCAATATTTGGAAGCGTATTGAATGAAAATAAAAAGTTTGTTAATAGTGCAAAATTCTTACGCTGCAATACGGAGGTTTAACAGGAACAAAAGGCTGAAAAAAAAAACAAAGGGTGTGAATACTTTTAACGCCTTTAAAGCGCTGAATCCTCACCTTCCACATACAACAGCTGATATTTGTTGGAGATTTGAGGGTTGTCCTTGGATACAGCCTTGCAGTAGAAGACGCCCTGAAGATCTGCGCTGGGATTTTGAAGGATGAACCCCCTGGTGGGGTCATAGGTCAGACGAGTATCGTTTGCTGTGATCTCCACAGGAGGGACCTCTCTGTGCAGCGAAGCCATGGCCCGGGGGTCGGTCACACGGCAGGGCACGACGGCAGGGCTGTCGGGGCGCAGGTAGACGATCTCAAAGTGGATGGCAGACGGGACAAAGAGGCTCTCCTTGTCTGGATTAAAGTTGGGTGACATTAAATGATCTGAAACACTTACAGACCCAAACCAATGGAAACTTCTTTACTGCCTAAAATCAGTGATTTCATTTCAATCACAGAGAATAGAACAATTTAAAGTATATCAGGGATCAGTTAGACTGATGTCAAAATAATCTGTATCGGTATCTGTCTTTAAAAAAACATCTCTACCTGGGACTATAGTTATTTCTCTTTTTTTCCTGTCCACAGCTTTGCCCCCTGACTCAGCTCCTTCTTCACCATGACAGTCCGATACGGAGACCGCATCACTGCTGACGCTGCACCGATCCGTCTATCGATCTCATGCTCCATCCGTCCCTCACTTATGAACAAGACCCTGAGATATTTTAACTCCTCCGTTGGAGCAAGCACTATCCATCAACCTGAAGAGGGGAGTCCACCTTTCTGGAGATGATTATTACATTTGTTCAGCATAAGATAATCAACGTTCTTTCAACTCTGTATTATGTTTTCACTCAATTAACTTCCTAAGAAGTTGTTCATAATAAGAATAGAACAAAAAGAAATCAAACCTCGAGCACCTTTAAAGGTGAAAAAAACTCTGCCTCAATCAAAAGGCCTTTCCTTTGCTGTCAGCCAAAATAGGACAATCATTTCCTTTATAGATAGACAGAGCTTCCAAATCCCCTGAGTTTCGCCATCTTAACAGAGTATATTTATACAAGTTAATGAGAATATTTACGTCACATTTTTGATAAAACAGTAAAGACAGTTGTTTCTGAATTTGTTTTCCTTCATTTTCTTAAGACTTTCTCACTTTGGAGGACTAATCCTATTAAAAATATTGCTTGACATGCAAATCAGTGTCTCATTAAAGTGCAACAGAATAATAAATAAGAGATTTATTTAAACCAGTTAATAAGATATGTATGCTTCTATTTTATTCTCAACTGTTGTAACTTATTGTTGCACTGTTATGCTTATTTTCTATTTAAACAACCTATATTCATATATTTTTCCTCAGTTTATTTATTTCCAGTACATTTCTGGACGTTTATTTTTTTCCTAACATCTCATTGCTTTCTCCTTTATGACCATCCTATATTTAAAAGAAATTTGCGTGTTATTTTTATGCCCAAAAGTCTATTTTTCATCTAATGTAAATATTAATCATAATGTAGTATTATCCTACCAAACAGATCTCCCTCTGCTCATTTACTTCCACCTCCCGTTTTCCCCATTTCTATGGAAGACCATTCCTGTCATTATTGAGAACCCATTATTAATGCGCTGAAACCTGAGATGCTTTGATTAAAGATTAAAAACCTATTTATTTAGCCTGGCTTTTGTGTGTAATACCAAGGCATTATTACTTCTTATCAATTATTGTATCTATATTTTTGTTGAATTAGTATTCAATTATAACACTTCCAGTCGTCTTGCTGCTAAAGGCTGCTTTATAAACAAATGATTGCCTTGCCTTACATTATTGGAATAAATAAATGACATGGCTCTCCATGTCCTAAAAGCATTGCCCTAAAGATCACCTGTGAAGTAGATGTATGAAGCGTAGGTGCGATCGTGATCCTTCTGACATTCTGTCCCATCACACACTACGACCCAGCAGCTGTAGGAGCCTGTGTCAGCAGCAGAGGGCGAGCTCAGGATCAGCTGGCTGTATTTGTCACTATGCTTGATGCTGCAGGCAAGAAGCAAAAAGATAAGGCAAACCAGTCTGCCAACTCCATGCCTTAAACAGCAGGTGTCTCTCTACAGCACCTGAGGCGCGAGTCATTGAAGGTGTCCAGGTAGGTGGGGTAGGACCATCCGATCTTGCTCCCCTTGCAGCGCAGCTCCATGTTTTTCCCTGGGGTCAAAGAGGCACTCTGGCCTAGGCGCAGGAAGCGGCCCTTATCCAACACCTGGGTAAGGAGGGACTGGTTTTTCCCTCTTCTGCTGCTCAGAGCTGGCTGGCGAATTCTCCCCCTCTTCCCATCGGAGCGGGTGTTCCTTTCTCCTGCGTCTTTTTTTCTCTTGATTGCCTGGCAGGATCCTGCATGCAGATAGACACAGAGGAAAGGAGGAGGGTGAGCCGCCCAGCTGTGACAACAGGAAGGCTGAAAATCCCTATCATTGGTTCCAAATATCCCCATCTCAGTCTCTTTCTTATGTTTTGATTTGATCTCAGCAGGAACAGAATGCAAAATATTCTGTAGTGTTAAATGTGTTCTAACATATGGTGCAGAAGTAAGAGGCAGATAATTGGAAACGTCTGCTGCATTCCTTCACATTCAGTAAGCGGGTCTGCAGAAACACTTTGGGAAAAATTCCCCAGTTTACTGTAGGGAACGCCTTCACAAATTGCACATATTATTACACTTACAACAAATCACCTAATGAATTCCTTAGAGAGAGATGAAAAACCTTTGCTTTAAAATACTGCTCATATCTGCAGCTTATAGAGAAAAGCTTCCTGCAGGTTAGACATGCACCAAATGGTTCCCCTCTGGCCAGTATTCAGTCAGTCCCATCTTTCAAATCCATGAGGATATAACCAGGTTTTTCCATCCAGCAATCTCCTCAACAGTTGTAAGAATGCAGTCTTCACTCACCATTTTGGAGCTCAATGCAGAGCAGCGCCAGACAAAGTACAGCCCAGAGCTTCATGGTCAAAGATCTGGGAGTTCTGCTCGACTACACAGAATGGGAGAAGAGATGAAGAGCTCCGAGAAAGAAAAAAATGTTAAGCTCTGCGATTTACTGGACCAGCGCCGGTCCCAGCTGGCCTGTTCACAATCCCAGCTCCATCCTCCTCATAGACTGGAAGTGGAAAGAAAAATAACTGAAGAGCTTCTTTTTGGTCCTGCCTCTCAGGCCTGAGGATGTGTTAGTCTGAAGCCCTCTGCTGGACCTCAGGATAAATTAAAATAAATAAGTCATCTGCCCAAGGATGTGTTCCCAATTTTTCACAAAACAATTGATTGGTTGATTGATGGATTTGGTTTCTGATTAAATAACATCCCTGAAAACTGTTCAACTTTTTCAGATTTTGTCACAATGCATACAGACCTCAGTAGAAAAGTAGAAAAACAAAAAGAAAATAAAAATAATAAACTGTTTCAAAACTTTTTTGCTGTTAAATTTTTGCAATAAAAGTGCAGGGTGCATTTTTACTCTGCCCTTTTCTGCTGCACATTTGTTGAAATCCTGTTTTGTCTCTCAACTTCTTTGGCGCCCTCCATGGATTAAAAAGAGTTACTGCATCTTATTTTTGATAAAGTCTTAGCCTGGGATGTGATGTCATAAAGGAGAATTGATGACAGCATCTTCAGCCTGGGCCACAGTGGTTTGCTTAGGGACTGACAATAAATTAAATAACTTTTCTATAATAAAAAAAACCGATAAGAATTATTTTTTTTCTCCATTTTATATGTTAAAAAAATAGAAAATGCACAAAAAACGGATTTGAAAGCCTTCATCATCTGTCCAGACCAGTATAATAATTTGATATTATGGTCAACCAGTCACATGAACTAAAAGCTATTGGAAAAAAAAAAACAATTAAAAGAGAAAAATAAAATGTACCAAAACTGGTAAAAAATAAAAATAAAAAAAGAAGAGATTTTGCATCCAAAATAATGGTTTGGCTTTCATTTTGTGTCAATGGCTGACATTACATTTTTGTTCATCAGGACTGTTTGGTCCCTATAAAGACCACTGTATGAGGTACAGGCCACGCAGAAGGTCTCAGCCAGACTGTGGAGAAAGATCCTACAACTCTGCCGCCGCAAAATAATCCTCACTGGGATTACTCAGTCAGCATGAGGCTGACATGCCTCTTCAACATCACATTCGTAACTTATCATGAGCTTAAGTTACATGAAATTATCCAAAAATATGCAACATGTAGACCAAACAGTATGTCTACTTACACATACATCAGTAGCGGCTGCTGCTCTTTGAAACAGGGGGGGCTCAATGGTGTTAATTCAATCCAAATGTTACAAATTGCATAAAAAAAATTGAAACAGATAAATCACATCACTAAAACGGGTGTAAACAGCTGTTGTGAAGCTATCTGAAATAATAAACTCCAGAAACCACAGCAAGAGTTCAGCACAAGATGACTGTTCTGATTGAATGATCACTTTATCCTCTCAACTCATGAGAGGGAAAACCTTCTTCAGAAGCACCATAGAGAGCGTTCTGACCAGCTGTCTCTCTGTCTGGTGTGGAGGCTGCAGCGCCTCAGACTGGAAGAAGGTGAGAAGAGTCGTGAGAACAGCAGAGAAGATCGTTGTGGCTCCTCTTCCCTCCATTAAATACATTATCAGTGACCCCTCACACCCTCAACATCGACTGTTCCCAATGCTGTCCTCTGGGAAGAGGCTTTGCAGCATTCGATGCAGGACCAGCAGATTCCGAAACAGCTTCTTCCCCTCTGCCATTAGACTGAACTGTTGAGAAAACTCTAATACATGTCAAAGGCTCTGCATCAAACTGATAACACCAAACCAAAACACTGCATAATTGCGCCACATATATTTAATGCTCTAAACTTTCATTTCAATGCTTTTTAATTAACCATGCTTTTTCTCCCGCACTGTTTAAATTTGATCTCTGCTGCACTGTAAGGTAGGGAGATGCAATGAAAGCTGTACATAACAACATTTCATTTTGTATACATTGTGTATACAAAAAGACAATAACAGTAGTCTAAGTCTCAACTCATGAGAAAAAGGCTCCTCACTGTCTTGCCCTTGTCAGTCAAAAATCCCAAAGCATGTTGGCCAATCATCATCGAGCAGCCAACTTCATGACCCGCCCCTGCTGTATAGACCCCCTGGCTGAATCTCTAAGCACACCCCCTTAACTATCGAGTGTCACTTCCAAAGAAGTCCCACTCACAGCTGTGGAGGCCACCTTGATTGAAGGTGGGGGAAAGCAGCCGTTGCTATGGCATAACGGTGAAGTGGCTAGCTCTGTGGTTCAGGTTGACATGCGATCAAATGTTTACCCCTTTTTAAAAAATGTATGCGGTCAAATAGAACTATATCAAATTGGACCTTCCTTTTCTTTTGTTTCCTGACTTGTGATTTTCTGTCAATGTGACGAAGATGCAGCAAACAAGTGGAACTTATATTTGGATCCATATATTTGTGTTTCCTCCATCATTAGGTCGCCTAAACACCTGCTGCCAAATTCCAGTGAGCCTGCACTGATGCAGACCCGTTATTTAAAGGCTCCTTAATATGGTGGACCCTCCGCGGGAATGTGCAAATAAAGTTTCAGTGCTTGGTAAAACCCAGCCTGGTCCCTAAGCACTAACCCTTAGCACTAACCCTCTTTTTTGCTCGTCCCCACAGAGGGTCCGCCACATTAAGTGCCGTCCCGAGGGCAGAATCTTCAGCCCTTAAAATGCGAGTCTGCATCAGTTGCCATAGCAATGACTGCCTTCCTTTTCTGTTAGAGGGTAGAGGCTGTCCCATTCTCGTTTATACCCACCACCTTCAATTAAGGTTCCCTCCACAGCTGCCAGTGAGAGTTCATTGGGAGTGACACTTGATAGTTAAGGTTTAGTGCTTAGGGGTTGGTTTGGGATTCAGCCTTAAGGCTGATTTACACTTCGAAACTAAGTCGTCTGAGTGTGTCACAGTGAACACAGAGACGTCCCCGCCCCCTCCGCAGACCCTTTGCTGCACCTCTCCCCAATGGGCTCTATGCACAGCTCCACTACTTCCTGAATTTAAGGCAGCTCCTTTGTTTCCTGTCTTTCATTACTGGACAAACTGATTAATCCAGGTGTGTCTGGCCAGTTACTTAGGTCATACACACCTGGATTAATCAGTGCATCCAATCATGAAAGACAGGAAACAAAGGAGCTGCCTTAAATTCAGGAAGTAGTGGAGCTGTGCATATAGCCTATTGTAGGTGACCACAGACAGTGCCGCAGACAGGAGGCCTCTGATTGGTCAAATCTACATCCTCTCCACAACATGCATATTTCCTGTTTGGTACCTTACCTTGTTTGGTTTGTATGACCGCCATTACGGAAAACATCTCACGAAGTTGGACCAGCTAGAAGAGTGTGGTGTGCTTTTTCCACCTGGATCCCCGCTCTTTTTCAAGCTCATGTCCCTCTGTCGTCGGACAAACGTGCCCCCACTTCCTCACCGCCTCGGCCATTTCTAGACCCACAGCTAGTTCACGATTGTCCCTCTTGCATCGTGACTGCAATAACATGGCGCAGAGCACGCTTCAATATTGAGCATAAATCGAAAATATCTATGACAAGCTCACGTTGACACACTGCTGTGGGAGCATTACCAGTCCTTTAGTGTTTGGGGGGCATTTGGGATCCCCAAAGAGGTTTTACCTCATTTGAAGTCACATTTTGGCATATTAGCTCTACTATTTTGCTCAAATCCCAACAGGGATTTGTCATATAGGCTGACCAGCAGTGTAGGTAGATATATATATAAATAAAAGATAAGTGCTTATCTGTTTAGACTTATGGGACCCAAAATAAGCTCTGCACAGAACAGAGCCATGCCTTAATATTACAAATATGATCTGTGTTGGGTTCAGTTTTTTTTCATAAGTGGTATGTTCCTGTATGCAGAAGGAAATGCTTAACTGTTTGCAGGAACATTAGAAGTGTATATTTAGCATTAAAGGATAGACACACATCTCTGTAACAATCCGCAGCCAGATAGACATTTATGCTACATAAACATTGAACTCAAAGGTTTTGGATGAATTGTTGAGAAGTTTTGTTTGAATTGAAATCTTTCATCTCTGTAGAGGCCACAATGATAGGTGTGCATGTGTTTGTATCATGTGGTGCGTAGTTGCTTATGTGACAGTATTACAAAAGCGTATTCCTTGATTCCGTGTGCATTCCTGATCATGACGGCAGTGTGTCAAATAGCTCAAATAGATATTGAGCTCAAACCCAATACCTTATTTGTTTAGTTATGTAAACTGTGAGTGACAGATGCAAATGTGAACACCTTAATGTTTTAGGTTTTATAAGGGAGAGCTTCAGCGGTCCACTTTTTTTTTGTAGTGTACTTTTTTCTGAAAAAGGCTCTTGTCCCAATTCATGTAATGACGGACGCACACATCTACTTTTAACTTTTAACCAAGGACTTCACAATCCTCTTTCATGGGATTAGTTGTCATTGTTTCAGCCTCATCTACTCATGTTTGGGTTTTCCAGGCTTAATTCAATCTCAGATTTTTTTATGTTGTATACCAAATTGTGATGTTTCAACAAGGGTTAATTTTGAAGCCACACTATGCTGCTGAACCTGTCATTTAATCCAAGTGTACCTTGATAAACACGTTCAAAATAATTTTCCTCTAGGTTTGGTTCCCCTTAATATAAAACCCTTTAAACATTTGCGATTCCTTGTTTTGCTGTTTAATTCTTACATTTTGTAGTTTGGTTACTTCTGGTTTGATTTGTGAACCTTTAAGCTCATTTATTGCTTTGCTTTTAATACACCTTATTTCCCCATTAGGGGACAGTAAAGGCAACATTTTATTTTAATCTGCATCAGATACAATAGTTGAAATTACAGCTAATAGCAGTTAAAAAGATTGTGATCCATATAATTAAAAATGTGAAAGCCAAGGAATGAGGGTCCCTGTATGATTCATACTTCATTAGTCTACAGTGTCAGCCCATAGATTTAATACATTGCCACATTTTAGATCCACCACTTCTAAAATAGTTTAACACCAAGATATTTCTTGGCATCTAATCCACGCTCTAGGATTTCAATGAGTTTTCTGCAGCTGTATTTTGAAGGGATGCCTTTAGTTACCCTTCCATGTAACAATAT